TAAACCCTTTTGCTGCAGGCTTGTCCATCCGCAGGGCAAGGAGGCACACAACTGCAGCTGCCCTTAAAGCAAGCCCAGAAGCTTGACCCAATTTCACCGGAGAATGTCTGATACGAGACAACGTTCGTGTAGACGTTCAAGACGCTCTCATGAAGATGTTGGAATGGAGCACGGAAAGTCTCACTGCAAATAGTAAAAACCCTTTTGGATCTGGAACTGCAAGATGCCGCAACTGTGGACAAGCATGCTGGTATTCAGCACAAGCCTGCGAAACCCTGAAGATGGCTCTCCCAACTCCTTGGAAAGGCCGAGAACGTCGAGGCAACTGAGTACGCCCTCCAAAGATCGGCACACTGATGAGGAATGGAAGGCAAAATCACATCAGACCAACACGCCGGAACAAGAAAATCGATATTCCAGAACTGGCGCAGCATGAGGAGATGTCTGGAGCCCGTCCGAAAGCTGCTACGTCATGGCACCAAGTTCAGCATCCAGCCAAGTAGCCCAAACTAGCCCGTCATGAACCAGAATTGCAACAGCTAGGTGCCAAGTGCACTCTAGGGAACTTAGAAAAGGTTCTCGCCACTTGCTCCAAATGAGGGCGGAAAAGTATGGAGGTTTGAGAGTGTACTGTCCAGCAATATCTAAACCCTCAACCCTAAACCTGGGATCACATGGAATTAAAGTAAGGTTGGGCCCCCACCCATCAACAGTGATCACAAGAGATGGGGAGGCCTGCCCCAAAATTTGGGCGTTTGGGGAGCAGAGTTTGGGTTCAAGAGGGGGGATCTAGGGCTTCGGGTTAAGAACTAATCGACCAAAATTGGTGAGGGCCTGATCATATGGTCATGATGTACTGGACGTTAGATGAAAAAGGGTAAGGCAAGGAGGGCTTGATAGGGATCTCACAGAAGGATGCTGCTGCTGCTGCTGCTGCTGCTGCTGCTGCTCACGGCATACATACATGCACGTATACACTGATATACATACACACATTGCACGTGCATACAACTAGGTGTGTACATATGTATGTGATGTATATATGGATGCGGAACGCATGGTGTATTGAAATGAAAGGGTGGGAAAGGGCTGTGAAGGTTTCATAACGTCATAGTGAACGCTCAAAATGGACCAACCCGGAAGGTGTCGACAGAGCTTTGCTTGCTGATCAGGGGATATCAGGGGGAGCGGAAGGGATCCAAAAATTAGATCCTCCACAACCATATGAGAAATTATATCGGGGGCTGTATAGGGGCGTAGGGGCTACTACGGGCTTTTATGGGGGATCTAATTTCTGAACCTCCCAGGGCTTCAACAGTTCAGGCCATGCACAGACCACATCGACTGATTCAGGTGTGAGGCGCAGCCCAAGACCTGGGTAGAGCGGAGGGATTCAGACCAAAATTGGATCCCATATATAAAGCCGGACTAAGCCCTATAGAACCCTTGCATATATCTCCTCATATGGTTGTACTATCCCCTATACAATTTTGTAGTGGGGTTGTAGGGGATCTGAAGCTTAGATCCCTTTGGGGGTCTGGGAACAGGCCGGCATTGACAAGCTCTGCTCCTTGGTAGACGTAACGAACAGCGCCGGCGGGTAGGTCTTGTCATCCTGGGTTGCTGTTAAGGAACTTAAACTAATTTACCATAGTGTTGGTACATATCGAAATTAAAAATGGCACACCCATTTCCTTAAAAGCAACCCAGCATCTGACAGGTTGTGGTAGGGCGAATATTTGTACAGAAACTCGCCCCAGTCGCCAGTGGAAGGGTCACCTTGTTTTTGTCTTTAGGGCTTAAGGGTTGAACATGTCTGGGTAACTAGAAAGTATAAGTCACCGCACTACGCCCACATGCTGAAAATCAGTCTAAGCTGAAGGGCCAGAAGGTCATCTAGCTTAGGATCGGCTTCAGTATGACGGGAGTAGTCTTCCCACGTAACTTCCTGTAGTAGCCTCTGGCTTCCGAAGCTGACAAATATTGCAGCTTCGGCCAAGGAACCATATTCTCCCATCCAGCTTGCCCCAGCCAAAAGCTGGCTGTATCTCCTCAAAGCTGCTTGCAGGTAGGGGCGCGCGGGCATTTTGATCATATACTAATAGTATTAGTAATATTGATAATAGTATTAGAAAATATTGATAGTAGTAATAAGTATAGCAATAATAATGATACTAGTAGTAAGAACAAGACTAGTAATGATAATGATAATAATCGTACTAGTCACAAAGATAATAGTAGTAATAGTAATAGTAATAGTAACAGTAATAGTAATAGTAATACTAATGATATTATCGACTTGGAGATTTAAGTTGATTCCCAGCCCTCAGCCTGCACTCTCGCAACGGCTGGGCAAGTTCTATACCCTGGGTCAATACCCTACCCAGTAATGGGTACCACGAGGGACTATGATAGGTACATGAAGGCCTTGTTAACTCCATATAAAGGAGCTATTACGTTAGGGGGGTTGACCGAATCTCAAGAGAAAGGGGGCCAAAATTAGACACCAACACCCCCCTAAACTCTAAACGCAAAACTGCTCACAAAAAAGGGGTTCCCAAAACGGGGTCCCTAACACTTGGAAGCCCCTACATTTGCAATCTCCCTCACATAGCTTTTACACCTGCCATTGAAAGCTGGGATGCTGCATATCCAGCAGGGGAACCTGACAAACAACTGCGCCGAAGAGCTCCTTCCGTTTGGTGTGCAGGGGTGGGAGCTTAAGGTTGTGCGGGGTGACATGTTCAGAACCAAGGGCATAAGTTCATGGGGATGCAAGGGAGCGGGCAAAGCGATTATGAGGCTTGTCTGGGAAAGTTATCTAAACAAGCATGGCACCTGCAAAGGGCTTGGAGGACTGCATTTCGGCTGTTTTCGTGTGGCATCCGGCGCACCGCTATTCCTAGCAGGAGCAGCTGTCCAGTGTCCTATATGAAGGGTGTGCCTAAAGAGTTTATGATTCCTGCATAACCCTCTTCAAGGAACCCTAGCCCTACAAAATCACAGTATAATGCCTGTAAGGCTTAGGTTCAGAGTCTTGGCTGCAAGGACACAGCCTTCTCAGAACTGTTGGCTAGGGATCTAGTACATGTGGCAGGAGTGAATCAGGGCCTTGGGATCCTACGATGTGGAGCATTGCTTCCTCGGTGGAGTAGTACTCAGATCTCTCTGCACTTTGAACTGGGCCGTTTGCTCGATACTACTCGCACATACTTGAGTCGTGGCAAACTCCAGTACCTTTGCTCCATCCCTCCACAGCCTGTGAAACCGCATCAATCTGCGTTGGAACCAATGAATCTGCGGCCACATGTCCATACAATTAGAAGAAATCCTGAAACCTGAGCCTTCAGCCCTAGACACAAGCCCATAACCCTAAACCCTAAAGCCCAAAAACCCTACAAAAGGAAAAGCAGGCCACCCTCTTGTCTCGAGTGAGCATGTTGCCCATGAGCAGGCCACCGTTTGAGCCGCCTTCCAGGCCATCTTGGGAATGCTGGGCTTTGCAAAGCTTACAACAGTACAATAAAAAAAGGGGTAATGTGCTATAATGTACTAAACTGTACTATAACATACAAGAATCTGCGGTAATGTAATATACACTGTACTATAACTATGCTGTACTCCAATCTACGGTCCTGCCACTCAACTTATGCAGACCTTCCTAGGAAGTGTAGAAACTGCCACATGAACCGGCAGCATTGACTTGTAAAAAAGGTGGGGGATCCAGGGCCCAAGCCTGCCTTGAATGCCCAGCAGCGCGCGCGTTGTCACGCCACGGCGCAGCAAATCCTCGGCCACCGCCTGATGCATTGGCTGGCCAGGAGATGGATGGACGCTTTCGCGTAGTTTATCTAACGAGGGGCGGTTCAATGGGCTTGGTAACTGCGTCTCCTATATGATTCCCTGGTAACTCCACCCACCCGCTTACGGACTGTGTAAGTCTGAGAATGACACTCCGAACAGGAAGACCAAGAACAACCAGTGAAGCGTGAGCGAGGATGTGAAGATAGTATCGATGCAAGCATTGCACAGGGAATGGGTAAGAGAAATCAGAAAGGCTCGCAAAATCTCATCGGCAAGGTTACTTAGTGGAGTGGCTTCACGAAATAAATACCGCAAACTCAATTTCAATGGCTGCCCAGTGCCTCGAAATCCTCGTAGGCTTTGTTGCGGTTGGCCTTCTTGGCAGCTTGGTGCCACCTGACCGAACTTCCTGGAAACTCTAGTTACCCAAACCAATGGGCTAGTTCACCTAAAGTAGTAGGAAATGAGGGGAAAGTAGTCCACACTTATGGGCACTGGCTTCCTAGCTATCTAGGGATTTAAAGTCAAGTTTAGGCCTTCGCACTTGAAGATGCGGACCAAGCATATGCGGGGGTCTGCAACCATCAAGGGCCGCATTATGGGAGTCCCCAGAATGAATAATATTGTATGAGGGGTCTATGTTGTGTTTATGGGAACCTCATGTAGGAAGTGGGCTAACCATGCGTCGGTACAGTAGATTGCGCAGTGCGTCCAGAATCCATCTACAAAGCGGGTGCTTTGCAAATGAATGCCTGACTTAGTCTCTTGCATAACGAAAAAACCATGGGTCTTCCAGAAAATTCACAGTTGGACTCAGCTATTCTGGAAGATTTCAAGAACAAGAAGCCTGGGCCCGTATTCACCGCCACCGCGAATGTTCGCATCTATCCACACCTGATGTCAGCAAGCTTGGCATATTGCTGCGCGGACAAGAAGCTCGGAACTGCAAAGCAACTTCAGCACAGCATAACATACCTCGCGACAAAAAAACACACTTACCCTTTCAAAGCCTCTTCTGACATTTTTTTTGAGGGGAAGCCGGAGCCACACAACCCCAACCAAATCGGCCTGAGGCCCCTTGGATGTTCAAGGTCAAATGCGCTGGCCCTAAACCAACTAGATTCTTGCAGGCCTACAAAAGATTGTGGCATTTTGTAGGATAGGCTAAGCCAAGAAGCACCGCCATGCTCCAGCCAGGCTATACCTGCCACGGCAAGATCTGGAAGGCTCATCTTCGCTCAAACAACAGCGGGTTATAGGGGTATATGGGGGGATTATATAGGGATAATGGAAAAGAACATGGAAGCTACTATTTAAGGTTTAGGTGGTTTCCCAGCATTAGGGGTCCCTTTTTTGGCCCAGCTGAGCCAGGCACAGGCACATGTTGCAAGGACAGCAGCCTCTCTTTGGCCTCGTTTGGGTCCCCTTTTGGTTTGCAAAATAGCGTCTCTATGGTCTCATTTGAGCCATTGTCAAACTCCTAGTGTCCCCCTTAATAACCCTTATGGTAGTCACAGTAGTCCGCTATATAACCCCACTTTGAGGAGTTTATATTATAGCTCATTTGGGGTTCCATGTTTGTTTGTATAAGCGTAGCCTGGGCTTTCGAGGAGTTTATATGGTAGCTCCTTTGGGTTCCATGTTAGTTTGTAGAAGCGCAGCGTGGGGCTTTCGAGCTTTTAGTGCAAAGGATGTTCAAATTTCAAGTCATCCTGATGCGAAACAACCATCATGCTAATCTGCGAAACATCAGAGACCTCTTTTTGGCACATAACCAACTTAGGAATCAGTCCCTGAAGAACAGAGGTCCAGACTCAGAGTTCAGCAGCAGTTCAGCTCTGGCAAGTGTAGGAGAGTCTCATCGAATTCTACCTTGAAGGTCCCAAACTTAAGGAAGCATGATACCTACGTTGGGTGAACATCAGCCCACTTGACTGTATACTCGATGTTTGGGTCCATGGAACCTGATGTAAAATGCACTCTGCACGAGTAAAAGTTGTCCGCATCATTTTCCAGGCATGTTGCCCTTAGCGGGTGGCAGCTAGCCCCAGGGCGACTGTTGACTGGCGGGGCCCTGACTGGAAGCCCAAACCTTCCTTTGTCGGCACCAAAGGATTTCTGCAACAGACTTTGGTGGAATGCCCTAAGCCCTACACCCGAACCCAACACCCTGGGCTAAACCCCTGAAGACCCGACTCCGACACCTGAAGCTCTCATGTCAAGGCTGCAGCCTCGAGCACCGGAGTAGGCGGGCGTCAAAGAAATCTCGAAGCCACCGTAGCCGTAGAGAAGAGTCGGGTTCCTGGGCTTGTCCTCCAGGACCTTCCCTGTACCCTCAAATAGGGCTATATGGTTCCGAATAGTGGGTATTCAAGGTTTAAAAGGGGGAAGAAGGAGGGTCTATGTTGGTTGTGCGGCTCTGTGAGTTGGGATTGCATGGAGGTTCAAAGCTTTCAGCACAGGGCTTTGGCTGAGAAGTCGAATGGAGCAGAGTACCCTAATTACTGACAAGAGGAACTTTCCTTTTCGACATGTTTGAGGTAATCCGTATAAAGCCTAAGTGTTCTGATCTTGGGGCCAGAGCTTGGAGTAGTGGGGAGTATTGGAATGCGACAGCTGCGCCGCTAGCTACTACTACTACCACAACCTTCATGAAGATTACTATCAGTACTGCTATCATCACCACCAGCAACAGCACTTCTTCTGCCAATTCTGATGTCGAGGTCTGGCTCATATACCACTGCAGGAGGGCTAGGCTGGGAACCAAAGGCAAGAGTAGTTGGATCCGAAGCACTTGCCATCGTAGGCCATGCTCTTCTTGCTGAGCTGGAAGTATGGCACCTCGCAGGCAGATTCGCACAGGTCTGGTTGAAGGGTCAACCGAAATGTCTCACCATCGAAGGTTCCCCAGCGATGGTGTAACAACTCACCTCTGACTTCAGCGCGTCTTCCTTTTTCAGTCAGCAACCGCCAGTGTTCCTCAAACAGGGTTCCCGGATGGGCTTGTTTTTTTTTTTTTTTTTCTTTTTTTTTTTGTTGGGAGCTTGCTGAGGCTCTATGAAACTTCTGCTGTGACCTATTGAGCCCTTTCAACCTTCCTTAAACCCTTTGATTGCGGCTTACTTTGGACAGATTTGGGCTGTTTCTATAAAAAAAATGCAGGGAGCCGACTTGCTGCCACACAAGCCCTGTCCACAGACCAATGATGAATCGGCACATGATCCATAAGGGATAATACACATGCTCTCAAAATTTGCTGCCGCGCTGCAGAGGGCCAGGAACATTTATCCTAAACCTTTAAAGAATTGACATCGCCCTCAGCCAAGTGGTGTAGTAGGGCCTTCGTTCCATCCAGCGACGTGGCAAAGAATTGCTGAACCTTGACGAGACGTGGGAAGATGACCCACGCAGCATTCCAAAACACCAGGATGTAAGAGAATCTTGCCATGTACTAAGAGTACTGGGACCATTCAAGCCTTCAAACTCTACGACTGTAGCAGTAAGAAAGGTCTGCGACTAGGAATTGACCTCAAGGTCTTCAGTCTCCAGTGTTGCTTGGGTTCTCATAGCAAGCTGTGGCAAGCTTTCCATCATAAAGTCAAAGCAGAGTACAGTGCTGTTCATATTTCGATCCCTCTGTTCCGCGAGGGCAACTCCAGTTTTTGACGACTGCTTCTGGAACATCTGCAGCATGCTGAAAAAGGGGGCTCGGGCTCAGAATGAACCTGCCTCATTATCTCGACTGCCACATGAGGTAAGCCCTACAGCCCTGCCGATCTCAAGGCTGGCATTCGAATGAAAAGCAGAAATTCCAGCAATGTTTTCGTGAGCTACTTTTGAACTCATACTGCAAGCTCACTTGAAGCTTTTCCTACTTAGGACTATGACAGCCGCGCGGTGCTTGCGCTGCAACCCCAAATGCAAACCAACCCAAATCACAACCGTTTTTGCATCCAGCTTGCAGCGCGTCCGCTGGCCAAGGCAGGGGAAACATGCCCCACATCACTTCAAACCTAAAATCTGCCAAAAGCCCTAAGCCATGAGGCCTCGATATCATCTGCATTGTAGTAGGATGGGAGCGCTTTAAGAGGCGCCATGGATGGCAGCTTGCCGGAGCACAGGTCTTCCTCAGTAAGAAAGGCTGAAGGATGCCCAGATCAGTATACAAGGCTTGTATAAGGATATAGGAAAATGGAAACTAATATAGTATAGTAGGGTATGTATTGGGGTTACATAGGGCTCTCGATAGGGATAATGAAGAAAGAAAATTGAAACTACTACTTGGGGCTTAGGGTTTAGAGTTTCAAGCTCCTTTAAGGGGCTTCCTCTTCTTTCACCTCTTCTTTCGAAGCCGACTCACATGCAGGTTGAGGGTTTTCGGGCAAGGACTGAGCCACCCATTGAATAAATCTCCGGAAGTGTTGGTAGGAATTATACTGTCACTTTGCAGTGGCTCTGCCTGATGTGGCTGAAGGGAGTTTTGCCATGCGTTTTAGACGGATGTACAGGGTGGGAAGCTATCAAAAGTTGGCGTGGCGGCATCTGAATGGTGTGGGGATATGACACAACTGATGTGATGGATTTTGGTTGATGGCTTGAGGTTCCGTCCAAGAATCCAAGGCAGCAGTGACATCTGCAAAAACAACATGGCAGAAATTAGGCAAATTTGGCTGATCCTTCATGCCGACAAATCTCCTTGAAACCTGCGCGCCTATCGTCCATTCCTGTAAGCTGGACACCTACGCAGGAAGGTAAAGGGACAGGGGCCCTGCATTATGATTTGTGAGTGGGATGCTTCCACCTGCGTAAACCGCAGGCGCTGCATCAAGGTCAGGCAGCTACGTTACACACGCCTCTTGCAGTCTAGGCACTGCTGTGCTCAGAAACAGCGAGGTCGGTCTGGTGTAGCCAGACACAGTGACCCAAAGATCGTCACCTAGGTCAACCAACAATTCCACTTGATTTTTGCAGTCGGCTTGGGGCTGAAGGCTTTGGCTTCCGCAAAGGGACACCAATAAGACAAAAACTAGTGCTTGCCCGTGCAGGTGATGGGATTGAGACACATCTACCACAGCAAAGTTCATTTCACAGGGAAAAACCGATGTGCTGAGAAGACTTCTGGTGCAGATCAGTTGGTCTGGAAGTTTGAAAACAAAGGAGTGGGCTTTGCCCTACCAAACCAAATACAAACAGCACTGTAGGATAGGTAGGCTACCCAGCCATGAGCCCTACTCTCAACACAGATTTTTAATCCGACCAAACCTAGACCCACAAACCCTATCAACCATCTGAAGCCACAACAGCCCTGTACCCTGACAGAAAATCGTCCCAAGAACAACCCAACAAATCCAAATAGCCCGATGTAGGTAATATCTACAGACTGCAAGGCCCAATGCAGGCATTATTTGTATACTTGGATCCCTAGAAGCCATCATATAAATGCCACTTTCCATGTTTTTTCATGTTCTTTTCCATGTGATTCTCCATTATTGATATACTTGGATCCCTGGGGCAAGCCCTAAACCCTAAACCCTAACCCTAAACCCCAAACCCCAACCCCTAAACCCTAAACCCGAAACCCCAAAACCCAACCCCTAAACCCTAAACCCCACACCCTCAGGCAACCCAGGGCCAAAGCACTGGAGTCCGGTTCCACCGCGTTGGGGTCTACGCTCTCCATCCCAAGGCCTCGCTCCTCGCCACAGTGCCTGGGCTCTCACTGGGATTACTAACTATAGGGTTTATATAGGGGTTATATAGGGATTATTAGGGTATATTATTGGGGTTATATAGGGATAGTGGAAAAGAAAATGGAAACTACTTTAGTAGATTGGGGTTAAATAGGGTTTATAGTCCCCCTTAAGTAGATAGAATATGGCTTTGGGTATACTATCATAAGACCACCATATACCCCACATTGTATCTACTTAAGGGGGACTATATCACTACAACACTATTATTATTGCTACTTTTACTACGATAACTATTCTTACTACTGCTCCTAGTACTACTATGGTTAGATCTTGGCATGTGGACGTCAGGGGAGATGCGTAGGTGAATGCTACAAGCCAGTCGTAAATCTGAACGGGATGTGGTAGCTTCTCGAAATCAAAGGACCCCAATATTGACCACAAGATACTACAATCCTTGTTGCATTATTATGGGGACCCCCCAAAAGGTACCCCTAACTTTGGAAAGCCCCCGCCATGTTTTGTGGCTTTTCCTTATCCTCCTCGTCTTGCCTTGCTCCTTCTCGGCTCCAAAGGTTAGAACAGCAGGTATGTGTATACTCCGGGCTCCACCCATATAACCTGTGCGGGACTCCAGGATAATGGTGGAGGTCAGGACTTGGAGGGCCAGGGGGGAAGTAGGTTAATATTGGGATAACTGGGGTGATTGTATGGCTTATAGTAGTTATACACGTACTTGCCAAGTCCCCAACAACTGAATCCGAAGAAGCCAAGTTTCTCCCAAGCGCCGTCCTCCAAGCAGGCTTAAGGTCAGGGGCATCTTAGAATCCAAGCGCAACCTCTACATCAAAAGTTCACTGTCAATGCTGAAGTTATCCACTCACACAGGCCCTGGACACTGAAGCCTAACGGCTTAGGTTTTCAGGGTTCGGTCTGCATACACGTGTTTTGCTTTGCAACTCGGTCACTATTTAGAGTCACCCCCGCCCGTCGTCAGCGATTGATATATTACGACGTCTTCTGCATTATAGTACCTACAAGTACATGGGGATGTAGGAAATTCCCTGGTGATACATCGGGTTTTTGGCCTAACTGGCCTGAGTCCCGAATTCCAGAACCCGGCCCCAAACCTTGAACCCTCAGCGCAGAAGCATTTCACCGATCCTCGCCTTATACCGCCAGAAGATCAGCTTTGTCTTCACATCCTCCAGCACCTCTGTGAGAGATGTTCAAGTTCTGAACACCAGCTAGCCCTTGCTGCCGCAACTTCTGCTCGCACTTTGGGGGACACGGAGACGCTCTCTTTTCCTGGGTGTATAAACCACACGGCCAGGCTTCCCTGCACGGCCTCCGGGGGGTGGGAAGTTCTGCCACGTAAGTGCTTGGTACAGTTTAGGGTTTAGTGCGGTTTTCGGACTTACCACTAGCATGTGTGAGCCACGCCACGCTCAGCACCAAGTAGTTCCGAGTGCCGGTGCTGTTCTCCAGAGACTCTGAGTCGGTCGGGGCAAAGAGTACCTGCCACGCTGGTGGTTGTAGGGCTGATGGCTTACCTGTAAACCCTATATTACCTAAAGTCTAGTGGTAAAATTACCCAGGTATAACCCATACACTGTATGTAATTGGGCTTACAGGTAGGGTTTCTCAAAGATTGCGCGCGAGAGCAACACTATACTTTGCAAAAACCTCAAATGCAGACCACTGTAAGATACAGCTCGCTAAGCCAGTACAAAGATGTGCCAGAAATCCAAGTGTGACATTTAAGCTACACTCAGGGGAAGACGGCAGCTTCCGAAAGCAGCCCGCATCCCAAACTCCAAGCCCTTAACGCACCCCCGAATGGGGATTGTCAGGATCATGCTCCCTCATTGGGCCCCGAGTCGAACATGGCCCCCAATATGTAGTCGGCCTTCTTAGATTTTGAAAACCCTCCATATCAAAACATAGTTGTGCACCTCGAGCTTCGACATGTCGCCTGCAAAGAGGCTGTTGATTGGAATGGACAGCAGGGACCCCTGCACCTGCAGTAAGTTTCTCAACATGGAAGCACGCGGAGTGGACCCTAGGCTGCCCTTGATTATAGGGCTCTCAGCTACTTCGCAGTAACTTCGGGCGCCACTTTGAAGAGTACGTTCGCCGAGCTGCTTCATTTCGCGACGTAGAACACAATCCTACTCCTTGTTGGGATCACTGCTCCCTCTACTGGCACTGCTTCTGAAGCCTTTAGGCATTCTACACGGGCATGTGCTGGAACGATCGCCATTTCATTAAAACATCTCAAAACCGTAAGTGTTCAGGTCTGGGAACCATAGCAAGCGTAATGAAGCTTTGGGGGCAACGCTTGGTAGACATGTTTTAGGAGGACACCCCACCCAGCAATAGTGGTATACTAGGAATATCACAGGACCCTACTACAATCCCTATGATCCCTTGTAGCCACCATTACAGGGTGGGGGGTTCCTCCTAAGACATCTTCGTCTCAAGCCTTTCCCAGGCTCAGTTGTTATGGCTCGGGCCTTGCTCAGAGGCCTGGAAACATCTTAGCCCCGTCCCTCTGCTGGAGTCTAATAACAACAACTACCTGGACCCCAAAAGTATGTAAAATAATGGTCTGTTATAGGTTTGGGGCTGTTATTTTAAATGCTTTTGGGGGTCCAGGTAATGAACATCGTTCCGCCCCCTTGAGACATGATGGTACAATATTGTGTAGCGTTACGTAGTAGAGGGTTGGGTGTTTTATTCTCAGGGGAGATCACAGGACGGCAACATCAGAAAGGCCATCCAAGCGGCGTAGGTTTTGCCGCCGACCGTCCAGTCGCTGCGCAGCGAAAGTTGAAAGCGATCACCTCAGGCTCCGTAGCTGTGAACTGAAGGCATTTGGGGATACTATGGTACCCACTATATTGGGGATATATGGGGATAATGGAAAAGAAAATGGAAACTATAGGGATTATAGGGTTATATTGTAGTTTATTTGGGGATACTATGGTACCCAATAATGGAGAATCAAATGGAAAAGAAAATGGAAAATGAAATGGAAACTGGGGTTATATAGGGGTTATGTTGGGGGTAGGAGTAGCTCTGTACAATCCAGCCCTCAAATGCAATACCACTATCAGGGACCTCCAAGGAAGGATCTAAGCTTGAGGGAGGACATAGGCTCTAGCAGCCGGCAGCACCCCGTGGCCTTTCATTTGCCTGTCAGTCCTTGGAAAATCCCTCCCAGAATTGCAATCCTCTGGGTTGCGCGAGGAAAGCCATGCCTGAAACATCGACGGACTTCTTGTCGAAGCAGACAAACTCAGAACTGCACATATCTTCACGCGTCCAGCGCAGCGCTTCGATTCAATGACTGGAGCATTGGGAACATTTTCAATGGATGAAGCTGTCAGATAAATGTTTTGAAATGACTACTGACAATCATCCCCTACTGTCCGCCTGAACCTGAACTTGAAAAGCACTTCGAGGTTTTCTCCCGGAATGGTTGAGAAGTGCGTGGACATGGCCGGGGCGCTGCTCAAACATGCATTCGAAAGCAAAGTGTACCCAGCCCGGACACAAAAAATGCCTTCAGAGTCCAAATAAGACCTGCTCACAGATAGTTGTGCCTTAATCTGGTTGGTGGTCTCTTCACCTGCTTCTGTCATACGGAATCTAGCCCATTCTCATATACCCACACGAACAACAGAAACCTCATCTAAAGAAACCACCTATCTGATCACACATCTGTGCAAGGTATGCTGCTAGGAGGGCTCCACAAAGCAGCTTTTAACGGGCCCAGGTCCGTGATGCTCCTTCTATGCTCGTGCATAAGTAAGCATAAGCTTTGCTCATCTTCTATGTTTGTTCTACCCAGGAGGAATTTCACTCATGAACTGCAGATCTTACACCCTCCGGCTTACCTCAACAAAAGCCCGTATCGCTTTGGCCGTTTCTGCACAAGTCGCAGAAGGTTGACACTTCCATATCATCCGGGACGTCCACCTGGTGTGTGGAGCATGGCCTTTAAGGCTCATGATTTTCGGGTTTAGGGGTTCAGGGTTTAGGATTTAGGCTTTAGGATGTTAACCCCTGGATTTAGGGTTTTAGGATTCAGGATCTGTACACCTGAAGCCTCCCGGGCCGATATGGAAGAGGCTTGCTTCCCCTTAGATGTAGGCCTGGTAAACATAGGCACGCTGTTTTCAAGGGGCTGCAGAACCATATTGGGAGATAGGATTGTTGCTTGGGCTGCCCTCCAGGAAGTGACGGTCACCCCTTGACAACCTGGCAACCCACCATGAGCCGAATGGGGCTCTTGGTACGTAACTGTCGCCATATCACTTTACCTGAAAAAGTAGTTGGAGCTGCCGTAAATCTTACGTTCAAGACTCTCCGTTGTACCCGAGAAGTACAACTAGGGCTAAGCTTTTTTCAAATTTGCTGTTGCAAAAAAACCCAGCCTTCTTGAACTCCCCTTCGTGCAGCCAGAAATATTCAGAAGTGTAGAATGTAATAGCGCGACCTCTCATTTCGTGGAAAAGGCCTCTGTCGTAGTAGCGATGGGCAAATGCAGAGATGTCCTGCTTCTGGGCTTCATAGACCAGTGGTGCATCCTTCAAAGGTGTCCCTCGCTTCCATTCTCGTACTTGCCTCGGGTAACCCGAGTCGGTCATGTCATCTGTTGCGCCAGTGTCTGTCCTCAGCGCCGGAGTGGGAAAGGGGTCTAGAGGACGGGGCCTAGGGGGCAGCGTGACTCACAGGCTTATTCACACCAAAGTCCCCTGAACACACGTGACTCATGCAGTTCCTGATTGATGAGGCCGTCCAAGGCAACAGCACTCCTGAGGTACTAAGCATAGTCGTCCTTAAGTACATGGGGGTCTCTCTATGGTGGCTCTAAACGTTGTCTAGAAAGAACAAGGTTGAGGGCCCATGCTTTGAACCACAGAAGCAGAACGATCGCGGCCACGGGTCCCGATGAGGAGAACATCGCGAGACTTGTACGATGCCCTCGACTTGCAGGCGCCCACCTGCATCACGGTAGAAAGTTTACAGCATGAGGTGTTCGGGGCTTATGTTGTGGCATCGTAATGGCACTTGTAGGAATTCCTGAGAAGCCCTGGGGAGGTCGAAGCGGGAAGTCCAGTTGCAGCAAACATGCGCTGAACCTGGCTTAGAGTAAGGAGCTTCTGATGAGGCCTGGCATTCTGGGCCATAGGCACCAGAGAGACATAAAGGCTGAGTGAGACCTTCCTTGACCTTCTTCAGAGAACAGCGGAACCTTTTCGCCTCATGTTCGATTGTGCGTTCGAGGACAGGAGGATCCTGTGTGAAGCAAACCGCGCGAGCAGTTTGTAGCAATCTGCAATCTGACTGAAACGGCAAAGTTATTTCCCTTCAACCACGAGGTCTCGAAAGCTTCCCTACAGCTGCAACAGAGGACACAGCTTGAAGACGGCCTGCCGTCAAAAGTCTCACATGCAAAAAATCAGGCCCTAATAGCAAGCTACCCTGCACCTATCCTGGGCTACGTAGACTAAGCGGGAATCAAATGGAAAATCAAATGGAAACCGATCTCCATAGACACCTCCGGAAAATGCAAAACGTTAAGCCCGGCTCCCCAGCAGAATATGCCATAAACCTCTAATCCTGAACCTGAAACCCTAGACCCCCTTTTTACATGTGGTGCCATGCCTATGCAAGGAATCAGGGATGCAGGCCAAGCCCATCTTTGCAGAATAGACTCCTAGCCTTTCAAGGGTAGAGCCACTGTTGGGCCCGACACTTTGGCCTTAACCTAAGGGCCCCGGGTGATAACGGGATTTTGGTTTTCCCAACCCTACAGTTAGGATCTTATTATAGTCATATGAGAGCTTTAGGGTCCTTATTAGGTGAGGTGGGGTAAACAAAACCCCCTCATTCCCTAACCTCAGGGCCCCAGCGGCTTGAGTACCCAATAATCATAAGTACCCAATAATTAGTCACGTACTTCTCCAGGACCTCTATACTCGTACCCAAATCCCAAGTACCCAATTATTCGGTACATGGACCCTGAATTCTGGTAGACACGAGTCTGAGGCATCACCTGTAGGCCAAAACCCCTTTGCCACAGGCTTGTGGATGTCTACCCGCAAGGCCTTTAGGCCTAAGCCGTAAACCCTAAAGCCTAGGCTAAGCTTTCCATGGCCCGCCTTGAAGCCGCTCTCAGACTCAGGTATGAAGGCCTGCGATCTGTGCTTTAGGGTTTAGGCTTTGCTTTCAGGCTGTGGGCTTTAGGCTTCGAGGCTGTAGGTGTTCGGCTTTCAGGCACTAGAATTTGGGACTTGAGACTTCAGGGCTTAGGCTTTGAGACTTTGGACATGTGAGTGGCAAACCATAGGGCTTGGGCTTTAGGACTTGGGCTCCACATCCTGTAGCTGTAGTTGTCATAATCTGACTTTAAGTATGGATTTTTTGAAGTGTCTTGGTGCTGGCTCTATATTTCAGACATCTCCCAACTCACTCATCTATCTTGATTCCGCAGGATAATGCAATACTGATTTTTAAACACCTACGCAGGTCTGCAGTGAAAATCCTGACACAACCGCGCTAACCCCTAAACTCTTTGTGCTAAATCGGTGGCAACGCCTTGGTCTCAAGGCTGAATTCTCTGATCACATCCGCATCGCTTCCCCCAGGGGAGAGGTGCAGCAAACAAAGATCACGTTTCTCTCCAGGTCCCGGGTCCTTGGTTGCTGGGGTGAAAAGTCCCGGATTTTCTAACTCTCCTCTGGACCGTATAGGTATAAGAGAGACCTTCATGGTTTGGGGGGCTAGAGACAGGGCCTTGAGCTTGAAAACTACCACCTTGTGTGTGTCTAGGACTTCAGCTCTTGTTACTTTCCGTCCGCTCCCTAAAAAAACTCACAGGGAGCCTGAAAATGGACCCCAGAATGGCGACCGTCTTTTCCTTTCCTTGGCAAGATAGGTTCCCAGATTTTGTAGGAAGGTAGCCCCAACACGAAAACCATTCTGGGCCCAAACCAGGCCTTCAGCACCTAGAGGTTCTTGCTGGAAGCTGAGGTTGCGATTCATGCCTTCAATGCTTTATGACTCTTTTTTCTTCTGACGACTTTTTCTGGCTTACAGGCTCGTCATCCTTGCCATGGCTTGAGATGTAGCAATGTCTGGCGGGCAACCCGGGTATACTTTTTTACCTCAGGATATCTCCAGTGGCCAGCTGATGAGGGCGAATCTCCGGAGGTGTGGCCACCTCTACCTTGTCTGCTGCATGTGCTGGCCCCCCAATTTCCTTAGACCCTGCTGTCAGGAAACTTGGTCCTGACACCGCAATGATCCCCGGTACCCCAAAGTAATAAGAGCTGAAGGAACACAACATCCTTCGACAACCCAAGTTTGGCACATAAACTCCGGTGAATGCCTCTGCCCATACCGTGCGAAACAAGATGTTTAAATCCGTGCGTTATTAGAAGGAACCTCTGATCTTTTGAGCAACCCTCCACCATCAGCCCCCCGTCAACTGCTGCATCTCCTCATCTTGCCATCTTTGGGTTGGCGTACGCCACAAGGAGTCAAGCCAAGCTCTGTGTTGGCGGTCTCTCAGGATTGGGGGGCGCCTGGGGACTAGAGGGATTATAGGATGTTTATGGGGCTCTTATTGCGGAATATATAAGGGATTTCTTGGGAAACTAGCTTTTGACTGTTCTGTGATGCCCTTTGCTTGCATCCAGGTGTCGATGAACGTTGGGCTGTGCCACACCCAGCTCTCACCCTCCTCCTGCCAGTCGTTCTGTGTGTCTGGGCTTGGGGTCCACGGCTTAGGTCTATGGCTTGGGCATAAACCCTAAACCATCAAACCCTAAACCAAACCTGAAGCCCTAGACCCTGACATTTACAGGCCAGAATGGTGAGTGTGTAAGGCTTAGGCCTTTGTTTTCCCAAGATGTTGCTTGTAGCTGATCTCCTAGGTAAACAGGGAATGTGGTAGCTTCCACAAACAGATGTAGATGGACCCAAACATAGACCCCAAATACTGCCATCCTAATTATTGGCACGCCCCCCCCCTCCCCCCCAAATTTCGCTACCGTATACCACCAGGTTAATATGAAGGGGGACCCGCAGCTTCGCACCGGAAATGACTCAGGCTCGTCGCTGGGCTTGAGCATGAGGCTGGCCCTGGAATCTATGGTCCCAGCTCCTTCATATGAGCACCTCCATAGCAAATTATCAAGTTGAGAGCACCCTCTGCCGCAAAGATTTGCATTCAGGGTCTGATGGCCCTTTGGTTTGGTGGCATTCTCTCCAGTCAGGTGGCAGCGGCGGCTGCAGCAGCATGGCCCAAGGCCATATAGAAAAGGTCTATGGGTTTTGCGGCTTTCCCCATGCTGCGCTTGGCTACCCACTGGGAGCGGCACCTCCGATTTCAGCATCGAGAGCGTGCGGGGCGCTGGCCTCCCAGGTAACTCTCGATAGCGCCCTCGTCGAGTCCTTCAACAAAGTGCTCCGAAGGTCCCATGTATTCCAAGCTTCGCCCTGGAGCACACTGACAAAACTCCGTGCATCATTGGTTCTACGGGTTTGCATGCACCTAGCCTTTGCCTGCTAAATTCCTAATGTAACCATTTCATTCTTAAAGGGGGTGGCAAAAATGATATTGTCCGCCCGAAAATATCTCGAATTTAATAGATTCCCTTCTAACTTCTACTTGTACTACCAGTACTAAAACCTGCACTGCCTGGTCCTACCCCAACCCCGGTTCCTTGGTTTACTATTGCGACCACCCCCTCTCCGTGGACAAAAAACGTAAAACAAGTTCTGGGGGGGGATTCCTCATTGAAATGGCAACATTAGACTCCATAGACTTAGGTAAACTATCAGGTCTTATGTGTTATGCCCTCAACACCACCTTGACCTTTGAAATCCCTGCCATCCTTGCCCAGGGCATCAAGGTCCAGCACCAGCTCCCACTGAATTTCCTTTGCCGGCTTCTTGTACTCCTGCCCGTGGGCTGTCGGAATGCAGGATTCATTTCATAGCGCTAGGTTTCATGAAGGCTTGGGAACGCCGAAGGTTGAGCGATGCTGCAGGGTTGCTTGCTTTGACAACTCCGGTTTTGAAAGGCTTGCAGGATCCTCCAGCTCCTTTTTGTCAGGACCAGAAACGTCAGAGTTATAGCATACCTTAAGGGCTGCAGTCTCCATGCCAAACGCTTGGACGGCTAGGGCTCTTTCCAAAAGGGTGTAATGGCTTGTCTCCACCGTTGTGTGGTCTTGTTAGGCATCCAAGTGTGCAACTTCATCGCCAACGCCAGCACCCAAGCGCTTCTCACTTCTCAGAGAATGCCCGGTGAAGTCTCGAAAACGTTGGTGCAACGTGCTCCCGGGACAACTGCATGCAAGGAGCATTGAGTCTTCGTAAACACCTGCAATGCAGGAATTCCATATACGGGCCTGAGACGACAACTCCATGAAGAGCTCTCAAGGTCCCTCCCGGACTCCCAACGGCTTTCCATCTTTAAATTCTTAAGCTACAGTGGATGTATCTTATAGGTGCCGTTCTTGTGAGGGGAAAAGCTGTAAGCAACCCTCTGTCCACACTTACTGTTCCATGACCTCACAAAGTTGGGGAACTCGCCTCAACTCAAGAGCACCCGTGGCAGAAACCCCATAGCTAATGACCCTAAACCTTGACCAAAATGCTTCAACTTTTAACCTCTAACTCCCAAACCCTCAATCACTCATCCCCCTAGACGCCCAAGCCGAAACTTCTGCGCCTCCAGGGTGCAACGACGCCAAATGCCTCTCACGTGGTCGGCGTCCTCCGGCTGCAGCATGCTTGGAGGTTCTGACTATTTCTGAGCACCACCCAGCAGTTCTTCTATTCAGGGTTCTTAGCGAGTTGTTGTTGCTGTTTACTACCTGCACAGGTCCGGCAAAAACTTGTGGAGATCCTACTTGCCAGCAAAACAGACCGGGGCAGCGTAACACGCTTGGTTCCCCAAAGGAAGACCCGGTTCGACTGACCCGAAGCCCAACGAGAATCCTACTTCATATGACCGAGCGTAAAAGCTGAGATCCTTAATTTCAAGGAACGCCTTGCTTCTACCCATCCCACTGCAAAGGCAAAGGTTCGGGCGGCTTCTGGCGCATAGGATGGGGAGCGGCGAGGAGAAGTTTCCTCAAAATAGGGATGATAGGAACTTTATGGGTCTGGAAACTGCACCTTAGAATTCAGTAGGCTATCCAAATTCTAATCAGGCTTGAATGATTATATTGCCACGGCTCATAGAGCTTCGACAAGATGATCTCAACACCGGCTATGAGTAGTGAGAAAAAATCCATGAAAAGGGGGAAGCTAAACAGGTACTCCCCTTAGACCCTGAACATTGAACCCCTAATACAAGCATCAATCTTAATATTTCATCAGGTTTTTACCCATAAGAACATCTACTTCCCAAGGAGACTTTGCTTCTCTAGTCACAGACAGGCTGTCGTCTTTGCAAGCACGAGCCCAGGTTGACTTAGAGATGCAGGCCTCTACAAGGAAGCATGCATGCCGGGAACTCAGGGTTTAGGGAGGGCTGAAGACAGGTCTACCCCCACAACCCTATGGGGATACGTAGAGTTTAGGCGCCTGTCCTGCCAGAAGTTGTAGTAGAAGTCGTCGATCTTCTGAACCTTGATTGGCTCAGATTGGGCCCCCCCCACCCTCAGCGAATGGGACATGTGTCAAAAGTGCGGTCCGTCCCGTGCCTTGTGGTTCCCAACATTCTGAAGACACCCATCTGAAATCCAGCAGTGGGCTGTCAACAAGTCGATCATATCCAGTTGAGATTCCCCAAGCAATGCTCGACGAGCTCTTGACGAGAAAATGTAGTTTCGGAAACCAAGGCTGGGTCCATCTGCTGAAAACCCCACAAAATGGTGGGGGTCTCAAAAAACAGGGACTTATGATTCCAAAGATGGGCGTCCCACGATTGATGTGCTTCACCGTCACTCTCCATGCTTCAACGATCTTGGCCCTTCAGACCTGAACCCTGAGCATCAAAATGCAATCCCTGCATGTCGTGGCCAGGGCACTTCTGAAGGCCTAAGCGCCCCACCAGATTGATTAGCCATCCCTGCATGAGGAGCTAAGACAAGAAGCATAAGTATCTCAGCAAAAACTTAGCTCCAGTATATACCCTCCAAATGCCCTCCGCAGGATCAACATTCTGCAACACCTAAACATATTCAAGAGAGGAGCGTAAGCGATCTTGTCCTTGCTCTCGAGAATCCTCGGCTGTTAAGCTCCCATCTCAAGGCCCAAAGTGGAAACACTGCCAAGCCTTTGATGGTCAACCAACCTCAAGGAGCTTTCGAAAAACCCGGGCTTAGCGTCCATACTGAGAACTCGCTGGAAACACTGAAGTTTTGCAAGAGATAAACATAGAAACAACAAATCTCAGGATGTTCAAGAGGCTAACGGAATCTCAAGCTGTTTCCTCTCCTTCTCACGAACCTCCAGGCTTCAGCGGTTCTAGCGTGGCCCGGCAAACATAATCCTTTGCTGCAATGTTTAATGCTCCCCACACCCTTTGGTTCATGGTTTGAGGGTGAACATACTGGCACGTAGTAGGGAGGATGATATAACCCCCAAAATATGAGAGTGCCCACTTTCTTTTCGATCCCTCCACTCCCAACTAATCAGCAAGACAATCGCAAAACCCCATATCCCTATAAGCTCCACCAACTTCCATTTCATTTTGCATCATTGGCGTAAGACTTTCTGTTGCTCCCAAACCCTATCAATCTCAAACCCCAGTCGTCTCCGGATTCAGCTCTCCCAAGCCCTAATCCCTACACCCTTGTCCCTAAACCTAGGGCCACCCATTACTGGGTTGCTGTTGAGGAACTTAGGTTAAGTTACTATGTTGGGCAAACCGTACTAATCACTATATATATATATATACCCATGATGGTAACTTACTTCAAGCTCCTTCATTAACAGCAAGCCCGATTAAGAGTCTATAATAGGGGTCATATCATGGCTCGTTTGTATTCTATTATCCAGCTGTTAATGAGTGGGGGGGGCCTAAGCTCTCCACTGTGCTTGGAAGATCCTCTGCACCGACAATCAAAGCAAGCAAGGCCTGCAGGGCTTTAGGATTTTAAGGATAATTTGGGGCGATATAATACATTACATGTTATGTAGGGGATAGGTAGCTGATGTAAACGAATTGTGTAGGAGTTACAGAGGGGTATGGAGGGTTGGAATCTCAAGGGGGTGATGGAGAATCAAGTCAAAAAGCAAAGGGAAAGTGAATGGCAGGCTATCAGCAGAGGATGAATGAATGGAAAACTGTGGAAATGACCACGGCTGTATTGGGGATGATATCATACACAGACTACATGTTGGGATCCATGCCCTTTGACTCGCTACTTAAAATCAATCGCAAAGAAAGGCAAACCCAAACCCTTACAGCTCTGGCGAACGGAAAACCCAAAGCGGCCCAGAGCATTGCTTTCTTGGCAGCAGGCTGATTATCGCCTGTGCAAGTACCCTAAGCCTCTAATTCACCCTAACCCCCTACCCCCAAGCTCTAAGTGCTAACACCCTGGACTTGTAGTCCCCCTTAAGTAGATAGAATATGCAATTGTCCGGGGACTTATCCCTCATTAGCCGGGAATCTCCAGGATCTTGCCATACAGCGGCGCTTCATCAGGCTTCCCGAATTTGTTGAAGGTTGCCTGGTTCTTCTCCTGCAGCAAGTAGTATAATAGTTACAGTATTAATAATAATACTAGTGGTAATAATCGTAGTAATAGTATGTACTAGTAAGCCTAGTAAGCTCCAGTTTCTGGGTTTGCGGTTCATGCCTGATTTTACGGCTCCTGCAAATGTAAATCATCCCTTGCCCATCTGATTCTCCAATATTGGGGGTGATCCTATATATCCTCCATATATATCCCTCTATTGCCCTATATGACCCCATAAAACTAACCCTAAATGTGGTCCTTGGCCCAGGCTAAGCATTTCTCGCCGTTGACTTCCTCCAGCCAAATGAAGGGGTCATCGGCGGCAGTAGTGGAAGCCATGCGCAGAGACTCTACCTGAGCTACTGAGGGGGCTTGGGCAAAAGACCTGTGGAAGAGAGTCGCTCCGGCAGAGAAGCATTTCGGCATGAGACGGGGCCCTAGATTTTTTTTCGCGAATGTTGTACCTATTTCCACCTTTGGAAGCAACAGCTGAACAACCATCTCACCGTGGAATCTCAACTGGAACACCATTAAGTTCTCCTCAAATTCTTTCGAGCTGCCTTCCGTCCCGCAACAAAGGGTGAGGCTGCCTGTGCGTGAGTGCCCGTGAGCGTTGCGCACTGAAGGGTTCGAAGCTTGCGTTGTCGGAGCCGTGTTGAAGCAAGCGGTGCAGCGGCTGCAAGTGCAGCTAAGCAGCCTGGGATCAACACAGCCTCATGCAAGTACCCTGTTACAAGAGTTTGTAATACCACAGAATCACTCAAACTCGTAAAGAACCCGCGCAAATTCCAGGAGCCAGTTCTTAGCATTCTCGTGCAGCTTGACCTCTGCTCTTGCGCTCGGGCACGCGCGTGCGCCCAAGTCCCCAGTCGTGCAGGGCCAGAGGAGCTAGCGGTGTGCGAGCGCGTCCATCCCGAGCTTTGCAGGTTTAGCCGGCTTAGCATTAGCCCTCTGCTCTGTGGCAAGAAGCATAACGTCCACGCTGGTAGGTTTTGAGCAGCCCGCATGATGCCTGTACACGTACCTAGCAACGTCTAGCAACTTGGGTGCCAGTTGCCGCTTACTGACTTACCATTTGTCAAGCCTAAAGAGTGCTTTTGAGCAGTGTCTTGGACATGTTACAAGATTCCGCGATGCATTTTTATGCCATGTAACCATCATGCTGCACAAGCTGGCTGGTGTGACACCAAGGTCTCTATACCCTTGGTGCGGCCCGAATTCAACAACTTCAAGTAACCCACCTCCAGCCATGAATGTCTGACCTGGGTTGGTACCCTGACAGGGGTACACAGCCCTGCGTAAGCATTTTACGCCTGAATCGCAAACTTGACCCAACTCCTGTCTCAATGGGGCGCCGGAACATGACTTTCGATCTGGCAGCCACCCTAAAACATTGAAGCCTGCTGAGGAGGAGCATGGACTCGTCTTGGCCGCTGGCACGGGCTTGCATCATACTTTAAAGTCAAAACCGATCACACCTCATCTGCAGCAGGCTTCGGACACTATGAACAGGTCGCTCCCCTTTGGGGAAGCATGGCTGGCATGAACTCTGAATGAACTTGCTGACATATTGCCTTAGGCATCTTAGATTCCGAGATGATGCTTCACAGCAACAGAGCCTCCTGCCGCATACCGCACCAAGAACTATGGAGTGCCAGACAGCTCCTAAGCTACGAGGACATGCGCGCTCTTGCAGCTTTGGGACACCAAACGAATGTGTACCCAGGCAAGTCCCGGTTGCACCGGACTCCCAGAGTCGTGGGCCGAAGACGGATGGTTTTCGGGAAATGTGCAAGGTTTGCAAGGTCTTGCAGTCATCGGCTCAGGGTCTAAGACTAAGACTTACCCAGAGCTTGCGTAATGCTGTTGTCGTGCTGGTCTACACAAATCAGCCCATTGCAATCATTCTGGGCCTTCCATACTAGAAGAAGAACGAAGGTCATGGTAAGTTTGGGTGTTGGAGGCTGTCCGCCCGCAGAATGGGATCCAACACCAGATCTGACCTGAGACGGCAAAATTCTTTGGGAACCTACTCTTTTGAAACCGCACGAGAATTATTCATGGAATGCATGCTTTGAGTGTCTGAAAGGACTCTGGCTCCCCTGCTTCTTGCGCAGGAGCTACAGTATGTCAGTCAGTTGGCCGCAAAGCTTGGGCTGCCGTGCGCTGAAATCAAGCCATGCTTGTTCATCTGGTTCCTGGAATTTTGGGCCATGTCTACGGTACTGTAACAAAGAACGAAAACTGTCAAATCGGCCTGCAGTACAGTAGGGTCCGGTGTGATTCTCAAGCTCGTCCCGCTCGGACGGAGGAATCAACTGTCGAAGGAGTTTAGGTAGAGACCCTAGAAGAAGACCCCAGATTCATGCTTACAAGCCTTTTTGTCGACCTTCCGGAAGGGGCAACACAATCCTGATGTCTTCAACCTCTGAAGGATAAGAGGTTCCAAAGGGTCCATGCATCAGGGAGCCCACCCCAAACTCCTCAACCTTGGCATTGGTTGGATGCAGAAACAAGGGTCCTGCCTTTGTCGCAATTTTTGCGAAAGGACCGACCCAGCACAAGCCACAAAACTTCTCTAAGATTCATTACGACTACATGCGGATGTTGCGGCACCACGGCCCTGTCATGAGGCTAGATCAAAGACTCATGCGGTTGACCTAAATGAATGCGCGTAGTGACGTGTACGATAATCAGGACGTGGCTCCAACCCGAATTTTTAACATCTTATGGTCTTAAGGCCAAAAAATGCCAGTAGCCAAGGCAAGACTGGAATTCTCGAGGTGCAAATTATCCTCGCAAACCTCTCTGCCAAAACTTCGAAGTTTTCCGCAATTCTCATATTTCTAAACATGGCTCTGTTAGGGAGCTCAGCGCTGCTGGCGCAACTCCTGGCACGGATTGAACACTGGCACTCTCTGCGGAGGGGCTCGGACACAAGTGGTTTGTTGGTTGACTCCTCGTCGCAGCTTGGGAGCTGAAGCTTCAGAGAAACACTTCTGGCAGCTAGCTTGAGAGCACAGCACCACAAGGCCAGCTGAGTGTAGCTGCTTCTGAAAAATGCGGAGATTTCCTTTGGGAAGGTACCGGCTTCGATCATGAAGTACCTGGTATCGCCGTGTTGTAGTACGCTGTGGGTCACAAGCCAAATCTTTGGTACTGCAAACAACAAACAGGCCTACACGCAAGCTAGGGCTGGGCACGGAAACAGCCAAGCGTGTTGGTCAATGTCTCAAAGACCTACGTCACTGATGAGGTGAGCCAAGGTTTCAACATCAAGTGTCCTCAGCTCTACCACTCTACGCGTGTATCATGCGGATCATAAGGCGGGGTCCAGACTTGCAGCTACAAGTTGAGTGTTGGGCAGAAGGTGGAAAACAAAATGGCAAGTATCTATCTACTGCAGGGCAAGCATTCCCATTCACATGTACACATTCATATATCCGTACATGTAATGTGTGCGTACCTTCATACATGCACAAACCGGTGGGGGGCCATATGCCAGTATCAGCAAAAGTTGAAAAACCAGGTTCCGTTTCATGTTGCGTTTCCTTTTCCACTAGATTCTTCATTACTATCTATACACCCAATATTTTTGGAGTTCAAAGCCGTTCCCATGGGCATTTGGAAGTTCTAGGTATCCATCCCAAAGATCTTGGTAGATCCATATGCACCCCTGTAGAACCTCGCTATACCGAAAATATTCCCTGTAGCTCATGTAGCTCATATATAACCCTATAGAGCTCCATAGAATCCCTATATAACCCCGTATAACCATAATATAGCCACGCTGAAGCCCAGAACTGCCAGCCTGCAGCCTACAAGCCAGACACAGCAATGGGCGGCGGCCTGGATTCCAGCGATCTTATTTGGCCTTTTGAAAAAATGGCTTTTTTTTGGGAAATAATCAAACAAGTATTCCAAGTAGGGTATTTGAATACAAAATTACCCTCAAAGGTTGTCTATATTGTGTCAATTGTTCAGGCAATTCAAGGATGCGGGTCTGGGGGGCAGATGGTAGTTGTTCAAAATACCTGTCCCCAAAATGGCCATAACGTAGGTTCTCTATTTGGTTAGGATCCCCCTTTATGGAAGTGTATTCCCAATGCTCCCCTTCTTTACAAGGACCTTCAGAACAACCCTCATATGATTCACATGAGGTTCAGAGAGTTTCGTCACGGCTTATGATGGGGTTGAATTGGCTTGTTGAGGCTTGCGTACGGATTTTCGGTGGATCATCGGCGTGCTTGTCCACGTCTTGCAGGTCCGGACGCTAGCTTTGAGAAAGGCCCGCGTTGTAGAAAAGAATGCGCATGCACTTCCTGTTACGGCAGGACTTGCCGTCGGTTCTCGGCCTATTGGTGCTGGATTCATACAAAAAATCGAAGACAACGATGGGGAGATGGCAGGTGTTCTCGGTCCTTCGTAGGATTGGGCCAGCATGGCTGCTTCCCGGTATGCTATTCACCTAGCGCACACTTTGCAACATACAGTGGATTTGAGGCTACTTTATGCTACGTCAAAAACTTGAGCTTCTGTCGCTCAACGAGACTTTGTCCAACAGACCCCTGGGGCAAGCTCTGCTCACGCCCTCTGCGGTACTGCAGACTGCAGAGTAGAAGTCATATTGGGGATTCACATAAATCATATGCATTTGCGAGTGTGCTTTGGTGACCGAAGGTGGTCTGCGGCAGCGAGGAGCTCGTGGAACAAAAGCGCCCTTCCTTTAGAACTGCCCAGGCCCAGGGTGGACATCTTCAGTTACAAGTGGTAGTTTCCCAAAATAAGGGAAACCCCAATATAGACCTCCAAATACTATAGTCCTTACTATAGGGACCCCCAATAGGGGTACCCTTAATTTTGGGAAACTCCCAAGTATCACGCGCGTACGAAGATTGCAACGTTACAGGTCTCCACCTCGCTGTTGATTGTGGAGGCAGATGATGGTGCGGGGGAGATGTTGCACGCAAGTAGATCATGAAAGCGATTGCAATCATCAAGTTAACTAACTTCTCAGCTATAGCAAGTCCCAAACCCATTCAAAGAAGGAAGCCGCTGAAAGGATTTGAAGCCCTAAGCTCTCTGTATCCTCAACCAGATGTAGCTGCTGAGGGCGTGGGACTCTGAGGCCTCCACTGATCTGGTTGAGCAGAATCTGTTTGGAACTGCAACGGGCCTGTGAATGCAGGATGGACGGAGTCAAGGTGTGGGACTTTGGCAAGTCCGTCGTCATGCTACATTCCTTGTGATTTCATGCCTTTCCTCAAGTCGGCCAGGCGGAGTACCGCACTACCAGGACCAACTGTCACCAGGTGAAAAAAATCTCACAGTACAACCAA